TGGGGTTTTGTTGTTGTTTTTGTTTGTTTGGCGGTGGAGGTGGGTCATGGGGGGGTATAACAGACAGACAAACTTATCACTTAGACCAGACTGACCTTGAATTTACAATAATCCTGCCTCTTGGAATTGCAAGTGTATGCCTCCATGCCTGGTTTAGTAACTGGTAAAATACATCAGAGACCATTGTAGCTGCATTTTGTGGGTGAAATAATTTCTGTATTGTATTCTGTTTTTTTGTTTGTTTTTAAATATTAGTTTTATTAGTTTTAGTTATGTATACTGGCCTAGAGCTAGAGTTATAGGCACCTGACATGGTTGCCAGGAATTGAACTCTGGTTCTCTGGAAGAGCAGTATATGCTCTTAACCACTGAGTCATCTCTCCAGCCTTTTCTGCTAGCTCTCATTCTGTCCGTGTCTTCTGTGTGTTCTTCAGGGTCAAAGCACGAATTGGTAGCTCTCAGAAACAACACCAGTCGGCAGCCAAAGACCTAACTCAGTCACCCGAAATGTCGCCAACAACCATCCAGGTCACATACCTTCCCTCCAGTCAGAAGAGCAAACGTCCTAAGCACTTCCTGGAACTGAAGAGCTTTAAGGACAACTATAACACGCTGGAGAGTACTCTATGATGGAGCTGCAGACGCCGCCTGTGCAGCCTTCACGCCGTCTGGCTCAGCAGGCCCAGACTTACTTTGCCAGCCAAAGCTTCTGTTGAGGCCAGAGTTCCTTCAGAACTGTGGCTGAAGGGTCATTCCCCAGTCGTTTCTTAGGGGCATTGTCAAATACTGGCTAAGACCTCATTATCTCCCAAAAGCACTTTTTCTGGATTTGAATTCAGATGTCATTAATGTTTCTGTCAAAGCTTCCTTGAAAATTGCCACTTGGTTTTGTTGTTGTTGTTGTTGTTTTTAAAGATTTATTTATTTATTGTGTATACAGTGTTCAGCCTCCTTGTATGCCTGCAGGCCAGAAGAGGGCACCAGATCTCATTACAGATGGTTGTGAGCCACCATGTGGTTGCTGGGAATTGAACTCAGGACCTCCGGAGAAGATCAGGCAGTGCTCTTAACCTCTGAACCATCTCTCCAGCCCCTCCACTTGTTTTTTGGCTATAATTCACCTACCCTGTTCAATGCTGTTTAGTCCCAAAGGTGTAAACTGAAGCGAGATGTCTTCTATGTCAAGCCTATTGTACTCAGTTGAATAGAAATATTTGGGTTTAGAGCATCTCAGATTTGATTGGTAGAAGTCAGGCAGGACCTCATGAGAAAAAGGGAATGAGAAAGTGGGTAGAATGTCCTCTGAAATTTTGGTGCTCCATTTAAACAGGTGTATTAAGACATGAACATGACTTTCCTGGAGTGGAGGGATCTGTCCTGCTGTCACCTAATACTGTTATGATGAATAAATAGGAATGTTCTGGTACTTGGAATAACCAAGTTGGATAGATGTGAAGTGGTTTCCTCTAATGTCAGTGTATTAGTCTCAGTTCACAAATTAATAAAATTAACTACTAAACATGATTTATTATTATTACTATTATTATTATTCTATTGGTGTGTTTCTCCGTTTTTGTTTTTTATTTTGTATTTTGAGACAGGGTTTCTCTACCTTTTGAGCCTGTCCTGGAACTAGCTCTTGTGGACCAGGCTGACCTCGAACTCAGAGATCCACCTGCCTCTGCCTCCTGCGTGCTGGGATTAAAGGCATGTGCCACCACCGCCTGGCTGGAGTGTTTCTCTGTGTAGAGATTGGCTGTCCTGGAACGTGCTTTGTAGACCAGGCTGGCTTTGAACTCATGGACATCCACCTGCTTCTGCATCCAGTGCTACAATTAAAGGCGTGTGTCACCCACTCCTGGCTGTGAGTCATTTCTTTAGAGTGAACTTTAGAACAGCAGGCATTTGATGCGTCTGCATTCCCTTACAGGATATAGGGTGTGAAGCTCTGTTCTCAGGACATGGTTGGATTGTGTGTCTGGATCTAGACTTCGCAGCAGAAATCCTAACAGAAATAGGGCCTGTGTGGTTCATACTCATAGCCTGACCTGGTTCCTAATAGAATGCTGGAGAACCAGGATTCCCTTTAGGTCACTAGGGCAACAGGACCAGGGTCATTGTTGGACGCCTAAATGTTGCTATAACTACTGAAACCTTGGTGACCAAACTAAACAGAAAGGAGAGCCTTCCCAGTAGCCTCAGAAACACCAAACATGTCTGTAGATATGTCTGCGGAGAAGATGACAAAAGTTGAAGAGGTGTGCAGTCGGGAGGGGGGGCGGGAGAGGTGTGCAGTCGGGTGGGGGGGCAGGAGAGGTGTGCAATCTGGAGTTTCCCTTGATGTGGTTTCCACGTGGGTTTACCCAAAGTTTACCTGAGAGAGGCCCTTGGAAGAAGGAGAGTTAGCAAAGACAGGGAACTACTTCTCAAACAATAGCTGTTCACATATGTCCACTCTGGCCCCAATATTTTCTCCTCAGTTTATTTTAAGAAATGGAGCGTTTTCTCTCTTTCCCATAGGAAACTACTTCATTCCTCAAAAGTAGGTGCTGAGGGTCAGATTCTAATAATCAAGGCAAATCAGTGGAACTCCTTTTCTTGCAGAATTTGCAAAGAATCGTGGCACTTAAGAAGATGGTCAACAGGTAATCTGTTTCCATTGCCTCCCATCAGTTGGTCTTTTCAGCTCTCCTCTCTGGAGCCACCAACCAGATCAGCTCTCCTTTGGGGACTCACTCCAAGAAAGAAAGAAATGGAGCAGGCGGGGCAGCCTTGCTGTCGAGCAATCAATGCTCCCTCACTCCAAGAAAGAAAGAAATGGAGCAGGCGGGGCAGCCTTGCTGTCGAGCAATCAATGCTCCAAGAGGAGTGTGTCAGTGCCTAGTAGATGAGGCTGTTTTTCTCTCTGCCTGCTTCCCAGTCTCTGGAAAAGGCACAATACTATATGTTCTTGCCTGCCTCTGTACTAATTATGTAGCAGGTATTTCAGCATTTGGTGAAGGAGTGACAGAATACCCAGAAGACTGGACTTGTGTTTCACCTGCTCAGAGTTTCATTCTGGACACTGGGGTGTTGAATCCAGGGCTTTGTGCATGGAGGTGCTCTACCACCAGCTATATCTCCATCTCTAAGCTCTAGAGAGAGCAGACACAAGTGGGTCTCTTGAGTTTGAGCCCAGGCTAGTCTGCATAATTCCATGGAACCGGGTTCTATAGTAAGACATTATTTAAGGAAGTTTGCAAAGGTAGCTCACTGGTAGACTGTTTGTCTAGCATGCACAGAGCTTGGTTTATTTCCCAGCATTCTGGGGATACAGACAGGAGCATCAATTTCACAGTTAACTACATAGTGAGTTGGAGATCAGCCTATGCCATATGAAACTGTCTTTTAAAAAAGGTAGCTGGACAGTGGTGTACACTTTTAATCTCAGCACTCGGGAGGCAGAGGCAGGCAGATTTCTGAGTACGAGGCCAGCCAGAGCTACACAGAGAAACCCTGTCTTGAAAAACAAAGAGAAAAGGAACAAAAGGCACTGGTTAGGAACAGTGAAGTGAGACCCAGTTCTAAGTGGCCTGGATGGCACTGCTTTGCATGGCCTTTCCTGTGTGCTGAAACAGCCGGCAGCTCTGCTCTGTTCGTGCTGTGCTGTGATTTCAGTAACAGTGCACTTAACACACTAGACTCTGTTAGTTCTGGCTGCCCTTTCAAGAACTGCAGTCTTCTGACAGTGGCAGAGTTTCTAGTCACAAAGGAACTGCTTTAGTAAGGATTTACCTCTACTCCTAACTCTCACCTGCTTAATCCCCACCCTAAACCTGGGACAGGTGGCAGAATTCACATACTCACTGTATGTGGCAGATGACCTTAAGCCAGCGGAGAAACCTGTATGCTACGCTAAGGATGCAGAGCGCTATGGAAGAGGAGTTAGCGCTGTCCAACAAACAGCTGCTGACGGTGAGTTCTAGGAGGGCAGCCTGGAGTCTCCCCTTCCTGCTCTGTGTCCCTGCCAACAGCATGTCAAGCTCTTCTCTGTCGTGACTTAACCGTATTGTTTACATCTGAGATTTTTATAAGAACATTAACATCAAATGTCAAAGCTTTTTTTTTCAGGAAGTGAGTTTTGTAAATTTTCACATTGTTTGCATTGTTTAGTTTGGGGTTTAACGAAATTTTATTTTCTTGGGTTCCCTGGGTTGGGTTGGATTTTGTTTGAAACAGAGTCTCACTTTGTACCCCTAGCTGACCTGGAACTCGCTATGTAGACTGGGCTGGCTTCCCTGAACTCAGAGATCTGCCTACCTCTGCCTCCTACATGCTGGGATTAAAGTGCACCACCACCACCCCCCAGTCAGGGGGTTATTTTATGTTTAATTTTTTTGGCATTTTATTTTTTATTCATTTATTTTTTTTAAATATTTATTTATTATGTATACAATATTCTGTCTGTGTGTATGTCTGCAGGCCAGAAGAGGGCACCAGACCTCATTACAGATGGTTGTGAGCCACCATGTGGTTGCCGGGAATTAAACTCAGGACCTTTGGAAGAGCAGGCAATGCTCTTAACCACTGAGCCATCTCTCCAGCCCACTTTTTTATTTATTTTTATTTTATTGAGCTATACATTTTTCTCTGCTCCCTTCCCTGCCTCTCCCCTCCCCCTTCAACCCTCTCCCAAGGTGCCCATGCTCCCAATATACTCGAAGATCTTATATTTACTACTTCCCATGTAGATTAGATCCATGTATGCCTCTCTTAGGGTCCTCATTGTTGTCTAGGTTCTCTGGGATTGTGATTTGTAGGCTGATTTTCTTTGCTTTATGTTTAAAAACCACTTATACCTTCGTTAAGACCCAGCAATGGGCTGGAGAGATGGCTCAGTGGTTAAGAGCACTGACTGCTCTTCCAGAGGTCCTGAGTTCAATTCCCAGCAACCACATGGTGGCTTACAACCATCTGTAATGAAATCTGGCGCCCTCTTCTGGCGTGTGGACATACATGGAGGCAGAATGTTGTGTGCATAATAAATAAATAAATCTTAAAAAAAAAAAAGACCCAGCAATACCACTTTTGGGTACATATCCAAAGGATGCTCAATCGTACCACAAGGACATGTGCTCAATTATGTTCATAGCAGCATTGTTTGTCATAGCCAGAACCTGGAAACAACCTAAATGCCCCTTGACTGAAGAATGGATAAGTAAAATGTGGTACAGTTACACAATGGAGTACTACACAGCAGAGAAAAATAATGACACCTTGAAATTTGCAGGCAAATGGACGGAGCTAGAAAACATCATATCAAGTGAGGTAACCCAGACCCAGAAAGACAATTATCACATGTACTCACTCATATGTGTTTATTTTTGAAACAAAGTCTTGCTCTACATCACAGGATGGCCTGAAACTTGCAAACATTCTGTCTCAGCCTCCCATATGCTGAAATTATAACCATGTCCCATCACCCAGCGGCAGCTGACACATTTCCAGTTCCCAATGCATTACTTTGTTCTTTCCATCCAGGTGAGACCCTAAGCTGCTCTTCTCCACCTGCGGTGCCAATGGCTGTGTCACCTCTTAGTATCTTGAGTACCTGGCAGACTTCCTAGTTCATGGTGCATTCTCAGCAAATTATTTGTTAACAATGAGTCTTGGCCCAAGGGTGGGGAAATTAGATAGGCTTCCCTCCACTGATTTACACTCTTCTACTACCTCCTTTTATGTCCCTACTAAGACCAGGTCCAAGGGAACCCAGGGATGGGGAAGGCAACCCGAGACTGAAAAGGAGCATTAACCACCCAATACCACACGTTACTGCCTTCCCTGCCAGGTCCGTCAAGCTGCCTTACACCAGCTGTTTGCAGAGGAGCATCAGCAGTACCAGCAGGAGCTCAGTCGGATGGGCAAAGCTTTTTATGAGGAGAGACTGTGACGCTGCCCAGACACTGCTTTTCCTCATGCCTGCCAACCCCGCCCCTAGTCTCTACCACGAGCTTCCCAAAACACACCTAGGCCTGGGACCTAAGACCGCCCCCTTTTCACCATCACGTCAGCTGTTGCCTCTGAAAACAAGAGTGACGCCTTGTGGTCAGTGCGGGATTTGCAGGGTTGCAAGAGGAGAGAATGCAATGCACAATGTCTGGTTTAAAGAAATCCTGATTTGGTTTAACAAATAAAGATTTAGATTTAGACCACAGGGTTTAGTATCAGCCCCGAGTCTTGGTTTGTTCTTGGCTGTCATAATTTTACTTCCTAGATTCTGAGCACTGTTTCTCTTCTGGCTAGTTTTGCGTGTCAACTTGACACAAGCTGTAGTTATCAGAGAGGAAGGAGCCTCAGGTGAGGAAATGTCCCCATGAGATCCAGCTGTAAGACATTTTCTCAACTAGTGAGGGCCCAGCCACGGTGGGTGGTGCCTTACCTAGACTGGTGATCCTGGGTTCTATGAGAAAGCCATACGGAGCGAGCCAGTAAGCAGCACCCTCCATGGCCTCTGCATCAGCTCCTGCCCTGTTTGAGTTCCTGTGCTGACTTCCTTTGTGATGAACAGCAATGCTGAAGTGTGAGCTGAATAAACCCTTTCCTCTCCTACTTGCTTTTTGGCCATGGTGTTTGGTCCCAGCAAAAGAAATGCTAAGTAGGACAGCCTTGGACCTCAGTTTCACTGGTCTTTTCTGAGTTCGTGGAAGAATAGCTTTAAACATGGTTATTAATCAATAGGCACTGTGGTGCTTGAGTGTCAGGGGCTGATTATGTTTGGAAGTTATCTCATTATTGTGAAAACATGGATTAGCTTATTCTAGGCCTCAGTTCCTCCTCTACAAAACTGATTCCAGACTCCCATCCCTCCTGGCACTGGATGTGCGTTGTAGCAGGTGTGAAGTATCAAGTGGCGGGCTTGAGGGGCTGCAGAAAGCATGCCCATTCTCAAGGTACTGGACACTAGAAAGTCTAGAGAGTGATAGCATGTGTGTCTGCAGGCCACGGGGAAACACGCCATCCAGAGATCTCCATTTCACAGTAGCTGCTGGGAGAAGATGCCCTCCGGTGTGATTTCTAATACTTTCCCTAAACTCTCACCTTTCGTCAGCAGCCACTGAGTCCCTCATCTTAGCCATAGAATCGTTTCCTACTGCAAAACTCTCATTATCTCTCCAGTCCATCTCTATCCTTAGTCTCTTACCAAAGGCTGCATCTTTTATTTAGCCGTCAGAAGCTGCTACCTCCAACCCCTCCACATCCCACCCAGGAAGCCCATGGAGAGGCAGCAGGTACAAAGGGGACAGTACAGGCTTGAGGGGCAGGTATGGGGCCACAGTATCGGACCCTCTTCTGGAGAGGACTGACCCACCGGCTGTAGTCAGGATTAACCAGGTACGTAGGAGGAGAGCACAAGCCCAGAAACTGTAGCTAACCCACACCCAGTTCAACGTCATTGTTTATCACACACACTTCCCTCTCTGCCCTCGTCATCAGTAACCAGCCATGAATACTCACTTCAGATGAAATGGCGCTCCCTTCATCTGAAAATGCATTCACCATGACGGCTGGTGGGGAAAACAGGCTGTGCACAGTGATTTGAGGTGCAGTGTGAGTTCTGTAGGAGATGAAGCCACAAACACCTCACTTGGATTTAGCACCAAACAAGACTGAATTTCCATTTCTTCTGTCTCCCTGACCTGTTACTCTGTACCATCCACATCTCTCTCTCAGCTTCCTTCCTTCTCTATCAGCTTCCTCCCAGGCCACTGCTATTCACAGGTACTGTGGCCTAGAGGAGAGAACAGTGGACAGGCCTGGTTCTCAGTCTTCGTCCTGCCGCTTCCTGTGTGTTTGGCCAGGTGCACATTTAATATTGGAGGCTGGGGTGGGTGGTTTGCTGGAGAGATGCCTCATTGTTAAGAACACTGGCTACTCTTGCAGAGAACCCAGACTGGAGTCCTAGCATCCATATGGCATCTCACAATTGTCTATAACTCTAATTCCAGAGGATCCTCTGCATGCACATGGTACACAGACAGACATGCAGAAAAATAGGAAAAAAAAATGCCTATGCACATAAAATACTTAAGTCTGAGTTTTGGTTGCTTATTTATAAAATGAAAACAATCTCTACCTTATCGGGGTGTTGTGGGAATTAAATAAGTCACTTAGAAGAAATCACACTTAATATGTAATATAAACAGAAAGCCATGATGCTGTTTTGCTACTCCAGGATACTTTCTCCCCTTAATTCCACTCCCACTACTCTCTATAACCAACCTCTTTGGTTTCCCTGTTGGACTCGCTGGATGCCCTATCCCCTCTGCCTGGATCTCTGACCTTGGCCTATTACCTCAGGGCTTGTCAGTGCCAGGCTGGCTCTATTATTGGCAGGTTGGCCCACTATAGCACCCATGTTCCCTGACCCTCCCTGCCGATTCTGTGTGCTCTGATGACATCACTCAATTGTGCCCCTCCAGCCCCTGATACTGCTATAACCCTCGTCTTGTGGCTTAGAAGAACTTAGATCTATTTGAAATAGATGAAGAAGGCGGGGCTGGAAAGATGGCTCAGCGGAAGTGGGGGCTGGAGAGATGGCTCAGCAGTTAAGAGCACTGACTGCTCTTCCAGAAGTCTTGAGTTCAATTCCCAGTAACCACGTTGTGGCTCTCCACCACTTATAATGAGATCTGGTGCCCTCTTCTGTCCTATAAGCGGGATACAGCATAAATAAATAAATAATTTTTTTTTAACACCCACAGACAGAGCTCAGTGAGATGGCTCAGTGGGTAAAGGTTACCTGATGACCTGAGTTTGAGGCTGAACTCCACATAGTTAAAGGAGGGAAAAGAGTCCTGGAAGTTGTCCTCTGACCTTCACAGAGGCACAATGACACAACCACAGAGGTTAAAAGCACTGCCTGCTCTTCCAAAGGGTCTGAGTTTAATTCCTAGCAATCACATGGTGGCTCACAAGGATCTATGATGAGATCTGGTGCCCTCTTCTGGCTTGCAGGCATACATACAGGCAGAACACTGTATAGATAATAAATAAATAAATCTTTTAAAAAATAATATATATAAGTGTAGTTTTTTTTAAAAAGGGAACACTAAAGTGATTTTATCAGGCTTGCTGTGTCTTCCCAGAGTGCCACAGCTCCACATACCAACATTCCCAGGTGTCTTTGTTCCTCTATACCCTAAACACTAGTGTTTTCAATTTTTTTTTGGTTTTTTGATTTTTTGAGACAGGGTCTCTGTGTAGTCCTGCTGTCCTGGAGCTCACTATGTAGACCAGGATACCTCAAACTCAAAGACCCACCTGCCTCTGCTTCCTGAGTACTGGGATTAAAGGTGTACATCACCACCGATTTTGGCAAGTCTTCCATTCTTTCTAGTCCCTGTCCAGCTCTTTCCCTCCGCCTGTTTTCCCATTGTGACCAAGGCTTCAGAAAACAAGACAAAACAAAACAAAACAGAACAAAACAAAACAAAAAACAGAACTTGGAAGGTGAGAGCTGAGTGAGTAGAGGGCAAGGACAGAAATGCCCTGTATACACCACACAAATGTGGGAACACCAAAGAGAAAAGATTGCCACACATGCCTATCGGGGCCTTAGGCCCATTTGTTAGTCTTTCCCTGGAAGGCAAGTGCCACACGATAGGAATTGACTGGGTGTTGGGACAAGCTATTGATCTAGATCAAAGTCACTGTGTAGTGGGTGTGAGGGGGAGGGAGATGTCAGGATTAATTAGAGCAAGGACACATGGAACATGCCTGGAGACTGATAGAAACTGTCCTCCCACCCTCCCTACACTTCCATACAAATTCCCCACCCTCCAGACAGCTATAACTTGAGTTAGTTCTACCACAGTGAATGAAACATCCGCCTGCCAAATGATGCTGCATAGATCCAGTTCTCTCGTGTTGAATTTCTGTGAAGGAATAGCCTTGAAGAAACCAGCCCAGGAGCTCTGGTGATAAGAAGGAAAGAAGGAGAGAGAGAGAGAGAGAGAGAGAGAGAGAGAGAGAGAGAGCGAGCAGAAAAGAGGGGGTCCTGAAGGATGCAGGCCACTTCCTGACAGAAGCAACTCCCTCTTGCTCTTGATCTAAAAGCCTTAGTTTCAATTGAACCAGGCAAGAGAAGCTGTTGGTCTTCTTGTCTGGAGCCCAGACTGAAGCCTGCGAGTGAAACGGCTTTTCTTTTCTGGACACCCAATGATAACTTGAAGAAGGTTGCCTAAAGGACATGAGAAGGAGACAAGGCTCGAGATATGGAAAAGTCGCAGCCCAGAAGCTCAGAAGCTCCCCATGGCTACTGCTCGGTACTAGGAGCTGTGGAGTCCACTGAGAAGACTGAGCAGTCTCGTGGGGGAGATGTGGGACGGTTAGAGTTTTGCTTGCAAAGGGAGAGCATAGCATTTGCGAACCCCTAACCCTACCCCCGGAAGGTCCTGGGCAGCTCAGATGGCATCGAAGGGCAGGTGGCAAAGCTGTTGAGGAGCTGTTGACACTGGTGATCCTCTGGAAGCTGGTGCTGTCACAAAACAGGGTGAGGCTTCATATGGGAGCTTAAGGAAATGGTAAGTGCCCAGATGTGAATCTGTGCCCAGTGTTTTTGCTTTAGGCAAACATGATCCAGCAGACACCGGACACAGTGAAAGAGGGGTTGTGGCAGGGATGGCATGAAGAACAGAGAAGCAAGAACGTGTTCCGGGAGGGGAAAAAGAGCAAGGGTGCCCTTGAAGAAGATGGGCTCCCATCTGTACATGACTAGGCTCTGGTTTGCCTTCCCTGACCTTTCTTCACAGTGGGGAGAAAGGCAAATCTCTATGAAAGCTCACCTACCTGCTTCTGTGTGATATGTTTGATATTGGGTTGTTAAATTAGGAACCAACTAAATGTCAAACATATTCTCACAGCAGTGAGGAGACTTGGCATCAGCCCTCTGCTACTTCAGTCCCTGGGGTTCTGAGACTTTTGTCTGTCGCCTCCTCCTCCTCCTCCTTTTTCTTCTTCTTCTTCTTCTTCTTCTTCTTCTTCTTCTTCTTCTTCTTCTTCTTCTTCTT